TTACAGCTTGCCTGCAACCGAAATAACATTTTTACTTCTTTTTTTTTACTACTTCCTTTTTATTTTTTTAATTTCTCTTTTACATTTTTCTATCTCTTTCCTCCCATTGCTTTATGCTATTCATTATACGCTCTTCTATTGGAAGAACCGCTGTGTGTGGAGCACTACTAATGCAGTGAAGTATGCCAATATGCCCCAAAATTGAATTGAATTGAATGTCTTTGAATTGTAGTGAAATGAAAAGAACGTTAACGCAACGTCGGCCATAGCACAGCGTTCAGCATGTGCTACTCAATATATTAAAGTGATGTCCGTTGCAAGTAGTCGTAGTCAATTGAGTGTCGGTTGCTGCACAATGCTGATGAAATGGCAAAATGTCAATTAAATTGCCGGGCAGAATTGTTACAAAAAGAGCTGAATAGTAATAAATAAAGGGTAGTGTAGAAGAAATTACATATTGTTGCCTACTTTGAGGCGCTTAAAGTGTATGTACTCCACATTATTGCGTAAGTAAATCGGTATAATTTATGTTGAAGCTCTTTTTTGTATTCAATGACGTACCATTTGAGTTATTAGCGCATAAGTGGTGTCTACGCCAATAACATTTAAATGGTTGTGGCAAGTCTAAAGGATGATTTATAGCTTTATTATATATACTCATACTTTAATTTCTTTTTATTGCAGTATACTTTTAAGAGAATAATTGGTTACGACTGCCTTTCTTTCTTCCTAAAATTATATCCTGAAATAATGAAGATTATTCACGGCCAATTTATCGCTTTTATTATTGGTTATATTTTTCTTAAGTCGCTGATAAATAGGTATAGCATATATATTTTTGTTTAAAAAAAATATATATAAATAATTCTGAGTTATGGCTCCAAACTATAGAAATGGTCTTAGGCAATACAACTTCATTCCATTCCATTTATACCGTTTTAAATCACTTTATTGTTTTTGGACAATTTTTTGGGCGCTGGCGTAGACCAAAATGTTCTCTCCAACTTTATGAAATGAGGAAAACTCATGGTGTCTAGCACTACTTTTAGCTCGTTATATTATCCACGTTGAGATTGCTTCCGTAAAATGAAATACTAATTTTAAATGAGAAAGTAAAAAAGTGTATAGAAGTAATTTTCGATTTCTGACAATGCATGTTCCGTAGCTAAAAAACAAATGGTAATCAACGGGTGAGGTAGCAGCTCCCAACCAAGTTCCTTGACTGTATTCTTAACCAATTTTACTGTGTGTGCAAAATCTCTTTTCTTTCTGTTCTGGCCCATTCTGTTCGTTCATGATTAATGCATGGTTCAAATAGATCAATTGTTTTCTGTAGCGATTCTTAACAGTTTCACCAAGATTTAGCAGCTCATGATATACCACACCTTTCTGATCCCACCAAACACAAAGCATTTCCTTCTTATCAAATGCTTAGGATTCTTTAAATATATACATTTTTTATCGCCTGTGACAATTCGTTGCCATTTTGTTTCGTATCTTATAAACAAATGTTTAAATGTGCAAGTGTTTTTTTTTTTTTCGGTTTTCCATTTGTATTTCATTAAATTTGTGTAGCACCTATTTTCCTACAACATTTATATGGTCTACAATTATTTATTGTACAACATTTAATATGGCTTTCATTTGCTTTTGACTCAAAAGCTTATTCAGAATCGCAAATCATTATAATAGGAAAAAAGTTTTGCGGTATTTCTTGCGGTATTTTTATTGAATTTTCAATTGTTCATACAATTTTGATGACTCATGCCCAGCTCTTGACCGATGCTACGGCTGCTACTATACCGGTCTCTTTCGACCAATTCAGCAATTTTATCGCAATTTTCGACGACAGACCTTCCGGAGCGTGGCGGATTTTCGACTACCTCAACACCAGAACGAAAACGTTGAAACCATCGTTGTGCGGTGGAAATGGAAACTGTATCGGGTCCATAAACTGCACAAATTTTATTGTCGGCTTGAGATACATTTTTGCCTTTATCGTAGTAGTACTGTAAAATATGAAAAGAAGATAAAAGAAACGACAATCAATCAAACACGTGTTAGCGCGTGAAATGAGCTCGGGTCATGAGGTATAGCATGACCCGAGGCCACGAATACAACTAGAAATACGCGCTCTCAGCGCCAACTAGCGAAAATACCGCAAGACTTTTTTGACAATCATATATATATTCATATGTAGTATATGGGAGTTGGAGATTCCATCGAACCGATTTTATCTAGTTCTGTCAATACTAAATACCACAAATAAGCCACATACCACTAAGATGTTCCCTGAGATTAATTGCAGTTCCTCAAATACCACTACCAATCAAATGGAGTAACGTTACTCCAATATTATAGGTATATTATATGAGTGTTAGGGCAAGTTTTCGCCCAATTTTATCCATTTTAAGCACAAAAATATTATACACTGCTTTCAGCACGCTCTACAAATCTGATTGTCATAACTCCCATGTTGACAGATATAACTCTTATCAATAGTTTATACCTCAATTTCAATAATATACGTCAGACATTGACCGATATTTTTGGTGAAAAATCAAAATCATTTGAACAATTAATAGTTATAGGCATTATTCGTGCAAAGTTTTGGACCGTTTTATTAATTTCTTCTTGGTTTGTACCATGTAAAGGAAAGAGGCAGATGGAACTTAAATTGTGTTCTATGGGAAGTGGGCGCCGCGCAGTCCATTTTCGCACTGTAACATAAAAATATTAGAAGAATGTTACGTATATAATTTGGTTGAAATTTGTCAGACGGGTCCCGATATATATGAGTTTATACCTAATATTGGGCGGTGTTAAGGCCATCATCCAATTTTTACACCGGTTCGTATAAAGCGCTCTCATACCATCTTCGGCCGAAAATTTAATCCCTAGCGTATTTAGTTATTGATTTAGCGTGCTTTTATTAGTTTTTAACAGTAGCATTGTATGAGGAGTGGGATACGATTTTATCACTATCGTTAAAAGTTCTTACAAGTATTGCTCTATATAAAATAATAACGAAAAAATACTAAATAATTTACTAGTAAACTTACGTGCGTTGAGTCTTCGACTACAATTCTCACCCGATCCAAAGTGTGCTTTTTCGGAAAAATGCGCTTAAAATGACAGGAAAAAATTCCATTTCAACTAATTTACCGATTAAAAAATGCTTGTGGAATTCTAAAGAGTATTTTAAAACATAAACAAACATTCAGTTTCTGAAAATCATAGAGCGGCCGATCGATTTAACTTAAGTACTGTACATTCGTTTGTATGAACAGGGTACAATAAATTTGCCACGAAGTTTACAACAATCATAAGGAAGATATAAGTTATACAATTAAGTGAACATCGCGACAAGCTTATTCGATTTAGCACTGCCCGTCTCTCTCTCTCTGCATATAGTACACGTACTAATCCCTCAGTTTTTGAGTTATCGAACTGAAATTTTACTGTTAGCGCTTTTTTTTTTAGAAGCTATTGATTTATCAAAACCGCGGATTACGGCCCACTATAGTACTTTGATAGCTTTCATGCAAACTGACAGTTCAAAATCTAGCCTTTGTATGAAAAACTTTTCTATTTTATGCGATATATTTGGGAAATTCAAGATGGATGCAGAAACTGGCATTTTGTTTTGTATTAAGCGGTAAAATGGTTTTCATATTGCCTTCTAAAGTTTAGTATGTTATTCATTTGATGATCTCATTGAAGTACCATGTCTTGGTAAGGATACAAAGAAGCTTTTTGTAGATTAGTTTGAAAGGACATACCCCGGATCGTATATTTTTGTTTCAAATCTTAAACTTCCCTTCAAAATACTTTATATCCCTCAACGGAAGCTAAAGAAACACATTACCAAAAATACAGCTTTAAATAATAATAATTTCAAACTCGAAAAGAAATTTGTAAACTTTTTTATTTCGAATTCAAAAAGGAAATTGTCAAATATTGCGCTCCTTAGCCGAAGCAGCAACACAGCTATGGCGTGCGAACCCTGCGCCAAACACACGCGGCGCAACTTATGCTACACCTGCATTAAATGCTTGATCCGCTTATATGGAATCAGTAAATATTCTTTGTAATACAGTATTATGCATTTATTTATATACCGACAAAATCAATATTTTGCTTTCAGCTACAATATGATAATATTAATCTGCTTTGTTTAGCGTTTCGCGTACAAAATCGATTTACTACGCTTTGCTGTATGGTAATACCTTTCTTGCTTGTGGTGCGTCGTCTCCCACGCCACTTCGTGTTGTACTCAGCTACTAAATTCAATCATCTATATATATTTTTTATTATTTTTTGTTAGCATTTGTTGTTGCTCGGTACCTTTTGGTGAGCTTCCAGCTACATATAAGCGCAATCAAGCGTACAGTTCAACCATTTGCATTTATATACATATATGAATTTGTATGTATGTATATGTGCCTGTAGTTGAGCTACATATATCCTATTGCTATAATTTCGATTATACTTTTATGCCTTTCACAATCCGCTTGTTGTGCATTATTTGCATGTCCAGCAAATCCTGTCGTTGCTGCAATCATTTAAAATCTTGTTTCTTGTTTTCTTTTTTAAATTTTTTTTAATTTATTTATTTTTTTTTCTGTTTTCTTGCTTTTTCGATTTTTTTCTTTCCCTAATGTTTTTTTTTTTACGTCTTACATCTTGTTCTTCTTTTATTCTATGCTTCTCTATTCCTTTTATGTGTTTCCTTTCCTTTCCTTGCTCTGCTTTCGTATAATTCCATCTTTATATACCCCTCGTCCTCGAGATAGTGGAGTAGAGTGTGGCTTATCCTTCCACCGACCACTCATCACCATCAAATCGTTTATTACAACACTCTTTGTGCTTCAAATACATACACACTTCTTTCTTTACATACATACTTCTTTCTATACATACTTACATTTATATATATATAAATAGCATATAACTTTTACTCACACACTTACTTAGAACCGTATTTTCTTCTATTGCAGATAACGAGCTATACTCCGGCACTGTGGCCGATTTTAGCGGCAGTGATCCGATTATCTATCGTGAGCCGCTACAGACGGAGCAATACGACAGCCTAAGCCTCAATGGTGAGTTTTTACTTCTGCACAATGAAATACGTTTTTTTTTTTCGATTATTTATAGCATGTTATTGTTGTTAGTAGCGTAACGTAATTGCATTATTGTTGTGATAGCCGTGTTGATGGCCAATCGTTGCTTTTTGGTCGGTCCCCTTAGTAGTTTGTGAAATCGTTTTGTTATTTTTGGTAATAGCTATCAACATGATTCGGAATTGTTGTAATATCAAGTATATTGTTGTTGGAGATTGTTGTAATATAAAGTATATTGCGTTACTGTTAGTGTTAGTGTAGCGCATCTATGTATAAAGTAGACTCACACCAACCACTCTCAAGTATTGACGACTGACTGCTTAACTAACAGGCTGGGTGTCTTAATAGTACTGAGTATCACTTTACTGCTTAGCCTGAAAGCTGTGCGTTTAGTGCCTTGCCAGTATTTATGTTTCATTTTCATGCCTCTAATCGCTTTTATTTGTGATTGACAATGACAAGAAAAATACTGCTGTATAAAGTGTATTGAGGTTATATTTTTAGCTCGAGTCATTAAGCCACTTAGCATACTCTATAAGCATAGGCAGTATTAGCTATTGCTGTGTATCTCACTTAGTTGTAATTGTTAGTCGTTTGAGTAGACAGTTGAGAACTTTAAAAGAAGATTTATTAAGAGCTGTCTGATTTAGAAAAAGTGTAGACTATTGCGAATATCTTTCCGGACTAAACAGAAAAATATCATTTTACTAGATTGAACCCAAAAATAATATTTATACCTCAGAGAATTCACGGCCTCAAAACCCATATATTATAGAAAATTTTCCTCATTAACATATCATATTTTTTTAGAAAATGTCACATAGTCTGAAAATGTGTTTAAAAAAATATACTATACTTCTTGAAATACGACACAAGTATATTAATCCACGGAGCAGCAATTTTAGTTAGGGGAACAAAAAAAAATCAGACGAATCCAAATTTGGTGAATACGGTTGATCGATGGTATTCACTGCGTTGTTGGCTTTAAATTCGGTCATAATCATGGCTCGCTAAGATGTATTATTATGTAAAATCCATGAATTGTTCTTCCACAATTCCAGCCGTATTCGACGGATGTTTTTACCCACACGCAGCAGTACGGCCAAATCTAACTCTTTATTGACCACCTATTCCTCCGGACCAATTCATGATGCGTCAAACAAGAAATATCCAAAAAAACGATGAGCATCATCTTAATTTTCAAGCGGCTTTAACGTGATTTTTTTTTTTTTTTTTTTTTTTGTGGTTTCGCCTCGTTTTTTCCCTCCATTCCGAGTATTGTCGACTTGTTTGCATATCAAATTCATAACATATGTCTCATCGGCAGTTATAACGCTAACCATGAATGTGGAATCGGATATCGCACAATAAAGCAAGTATAAAGAGACTATTTTGCGGCACTATTTTTGAAAAAAATTCAGTTTTCTCAGAACGAGATAAGCAAGAACGCGTTGCATACTGAAAATATACACCAAAATCATTCGAGAGATATGTTGGGCTCTCGTGAAATCTCGAAAGAAATCTTAAAAGAAATAAATCTCCATACAAATCTTTATTATTGCCTATAAAATATTATATTTTTAAGTCACTACAAGCAAGCCAACGTTTAATCCAATTTTCCTTACACTTGTTATAAGCCTCGGCCGAGATATTCTTCACTGTTTTCGGCGAATTTCGAATTTTTCGTGTCAACTTTGAAGCGCCAATACCCAGATAGTTTAACTCTTTCGACATCATATTCATAAGCTCACGTATCGTTAACAATTATATTAATATGCGTATGTTATGTAGGGCCGTCAGTTTTGTTGGCGAGTATCGGTTTTGCGACCTATACTCCCAGACTCCCAAAAACACATCGGCAACATTTTTAACGATTCCGTAGCCAAACAAAATTAATTGGCATATGGATATTTAATCTTTATCTGATAGTGATCCATAGTTTCAACGGATCATTTACTCAAAGGGATGAACTTTTTTTGTGTAATAAATTATTTCCTCCAGAATACAATTTCTGGTAGTATCTTCTTCCATGATAACGTATAAGAATCTAGAATCCATTTCAATTATCAATGCCAATATTTTCAATAGAGCCATTCAAAAGCACATATGGCACACAGTTTACTAATTGACTAAATTAAGGGCTGTCATTCGGAATTTGGCATTAAAATGCATAATGCGTAAATTAAGGATTGTCTAATATGACCCAATAGAGTGATTGAAAAGCTTTTTATTAATAGTTTGCGACATATGAGGCACACAATTTACTATTTGAATAAATTAATGGATATCATACAGAATTTGAATGCATCTTATCGAGTCAAGTAGTGCGTATAATTTACTAATTGCGCAAATTACGGATTATCCAAGGGAGTCATTGAAAAGTTTCTATTAATAATTTCCGACACATATGGCAAACAATTTACTAATTGATTAAATGAACTGACTTACTGGTTAATAAATTTTTGAAGTGCCTTAATTGAGTCAGTTAGTTCACACAATTACTAATTACGTAAATAAAGGATTGTCCGAAAGGTTAATAAAGTCTGCATCAACGCTTTAGGTATATAATAATCACAAATATTCGTAATTTTAGTCACTTAGAGCATACAGTATGCTAATTAAGTAAATTAAGCATTGTTTGAAGGGCTTATAATAAATTACGAAGTTACATAAATTCTGAAAGCATCCTAATTTAGTAAACTAGCTGATTAAATAAATTAGAAATTATCTGAAACACTAATAGAGTCTTCATTAAGGATTTGGGTAAAAAATAATCAAAATAATTCATAATTTGAGAACATACAATATTTTTATTGAGTAAATTAAAGACATTTTATATGGTTTGTAATACAATTATAAATTTACAAAAATTCTGAAAGTATCTTAAATTATTCAATTACTGCACACAATTTGGTAATTGAGTGAATTAATGGTTATCTGAAACAACAATAGACTCGTCTAAAAGCTTTTCAATACAATTATGAATTTACATAAGTTCTGATAGTACCTTAATTGTTTCAATTAGTGGAAATAATTTTCTGATTGAGTGGATTAAGAGTCAGAAAAATAATAGAGTCGCCTGAAAGCTTTTCAATACAATTATGAGTTTACATAAATTCTGAAAGTACCTTCATTGATTCAATTAGTTCACACAATTAGCTAATTGAATCAGTGAAGAAAATAATGGGTCATCTAAAAGCTTTTCATAAACGTTTTTGGCACATAATAATCAATATTACTAAGAATTTGAGACATATAAGACACACCACTTATTGACCAAATTAAGGACTATCTAAAATGCAATAAGTTGATTGATATGTACTTCTCCGACCTCTAAGGCATATAATTAATCGTTGAGATATTACTTATGGTAATTATTAAACAAATAAAAAAAAATGATTGCTTATATTCCATTAATTATACGACAAACTGAATACACATTTACTACTTGCAACAAAAACTATTAGAGAACCATTAAACTATTTAATTAAATGACAATTCATTTTGATTTTCGGTCTATTTTACTATTATTATTTTATTCATCTCATATTTGAAAATAATAAAATACTCATATTACTTGTTTATTGCAATTCTCTCTTTTCACTTTTTTGCAGCGCCAAATTTTGTCAGCTCTTTTACACAGGGTGACTTTGTGTATTTTTTCTTCAGAGAAACGGCTGTGGAGTACATCAATTGCGGCAAGGTGCGTATAGCAATGAAAAACAAAATTTTTATTCAAAACATTTTTTTCTGAGATCCATAACTCATAGCGCACAGCAGCGGCTGTTTTTTTTTTTTTTTTGGTTTTTTTTTGTTGCATTTGTAAAAGAGTAATTTAAACATTTGTCACGAGTGTTTTTAATTGATTTGAAAGCGTGTTGTAATTGTTTAATTTTTTCACACGCACTCAACGGAATAGCCACACGCATCGAGTTGAAATGTTGTTTGAAAAACAGGAGAGCGAAATTTTATCATAACTCTGTTTTTACAGTTGCCCAAAAAAATGTATACATTTATTCGGTGAACTGATTTTTTGTGATAAGTGGCGTGATGGTAGTTGAGCGAATATTAAAAGCAACGTTTTTGCATAAAAATTCAATGATAACAGGAACATTGTATTGTATTGTAGACTGAATTTATAAGAATTAAGAGATATGAGAGTTCTTATTTTTATTCAGCTGGAGAACCCATCGTATATGAGATATAAAATATATATTTCTTTTAGTCTAACGCCAACATATTGGACGAAAAAAGCTAAAAAAAATTCGCTGAAATATATGCAAGAATGATCAGATGTTTTATTGTAAAAATAATTATTTTTAAAGCCGTATTAAAATATCAGAAAAACATAGTTTTCAATGAGTTACTTAGAGCTCTTTCGTATAACATTCCTCTAACTAATTTCCTCGCAAATTTTTCGTCAAGACGCATACTGTCAGCAATTTTAGAAAAGTATTTTTTTCAAGGCGCAGATGGTCTCGAATTTGCCACTAGTAAGCTTTTTAGATGATTTTAAACAGGTTCACATTTAACTGTAGGCTTTATGAATAGCTCAGAGCATCTTAAAGAATGACCGCTCTTCAAGGACATAGTAACTGAACACCTTCTGCACCAAAACTGGTCTATGCGTGGCTCATTGGCCTACCAGATTAACATAAACTAACATAATTGCTGTTAATAATGTATGTATTTAAATGAACGTTGTACAAAATTGTGTTCTAAATAGCCGCCTTTTGCTTTCATACAAGCTCTCAAATAATAAAAAGAGTCTGATAGTATTAATGACTTCGAGGAAATGTATACAAATCTGGTCTAAATCTGGTTAGAAGATCCATGACTCTCCATAGAATAAAATATCACTTAAAGACGTGGTAAGCCTTCTAAACAAAAACCTGCTGCTACACTTCTTATCCAGTTTTAACGCATTTGTGAGTGAAGGTACTGCCTTTACAGGAGACTGCCTACCTAACCAGTATAGCAGCTGTTTGAAGGCCGAATTGAAGCCTTAGAATAAACTTTTTGCTTCGTTCGAAGTTATCGCGTAGATTTCATCATTTTGCTTACTACAAACTATTTCAAGAGTGACATTTTTCCCCCCGTAAGGAGAATAATTTTATGTCCATTGATCACTTATGAAGCTGCTTGCATGTTGTGAATCTAATTTGTATCAAACGAGTAGTCAGAAGATAACCAGTTGGCAGTTCGGGCGCGAACGGTTTTTATTGCTGAATCGCGAAACCACAATGTTAATAAACGAAGTAAATATTAAGTGAATCTCGATCCTTCTCCATCTGTTCTTTCCAACGTAGTGGAGGTCTTTCTCTTTCTCTGCTTCCTTTGGCGAGTACTGTTGGAGTAAAACTGGAGTGTTTTCTTGCATTCTCCGTTGCCAATACGCAAGAATCCATAAATCTGCCACAGAATCTTTCTCTCAAAACTCGCATCTACCCATCAGATGTTGTCATCGTCCGTGCCTCTGCAGCACTTAGGAAGACGGAGATGATGACTAACTTGTAGAATTTGGTCTTCGAGAGAGAGAGAGAGAGAGAGAGAGTTACCTCTAACTCCCATACTACTTTAGTTTAATTACTATATACATATGTATTCGTACATTCGGCATACACTGTAATATGAAGTAATCCTTGATGCCAGCTCCTTACTATAATGTGAATACAAATGAACCTTCCAACCAAGCTACCTTAGCTTCTGTCTTATCACTTTTGCTCAGTTCAACCAGTCTTTTGTTGTTGACAAGTATCTACTTAATTCTTGATAGTAAAGGTTCCAACTAAGACTTTGGCTATAGCTCACTGCGAATGCCACCATATATTTAAACATAGTTTCGTTAATAATTTTTTTGTTAATTTTTCTTTCGCTCGAACCTGATACGATAAAAAAGTATTGAAAATAATTCCAACGAATATCAATTAAAGCTAAAAAAAAAGTGTCACATTTAAGACTTTTCTCTTATTTCCACTCCGAACCTAGTTTGCACCACTGCAGTGCTCGAAGATCTACCGAACAAAAGTTAATACTGTTTTTCAATCACATTCACAAAGTTATGTCTAAATTTGCGGTAAATTAAAGGATTTTTTTTTTTATTTTATACCCTTAACAGGGTATTGTATGTAACTCTCAGAAGGAAACATTTTAGATACGTCATTCTATTCGTTTATCTGTCTTTCGTCTGTAAATACGAAAACTAATACTTCAGTTTTTGAGATATCGAACTGAAATTTCGCACACATTCTTTTCTCACTAAGAAGCTGAATATTTCTCGGAACCACTGATATCAGATTACTGCATCATATAGTTGGCATACAAATTGGCCGATAGGGAACAAGTGCTGGTTTGGAAAACTGTTTTAATTGACTAGATATTTTCACGAAATTCGCACAAATCATTACCCAAGATTAAGCAATAATAGAAATTGTTCAGATCGGATTACTATATCATATAGTTGCCATACAAACTGAACGATTAAAATCAATTTATTGTATGGAAAACTTTTTTATTTGACAAAATATCAGCTCGAAATTTCGCACAGATTATTGCTCAAATAATTGTTATAACCTCTGAGCATGTTATTTAGATCGCACAGCTATAGCATATATCTGCCATACAATCTGTTCTATCAAAATTAAGTCCTTGTATGGGAAACTTTTTTATTCGACAAAATATCAGCACGAAATTTGGCGTAGATTTTAGTCCATGGTAATGCTATAAATCTCTGAAAAACTTATTTAGATCGGAATACTATAGCATATAGCTGTCATACAAATCGATAGATCAAGATAAATACCGTGTAGGGGAAAGTTTTTTATTTGACAAGATTTTTATTCGAAAATTGACAGGTTAATTGTTTAATGACAATGCCATAATGACCCAAGATATCTTTTAAATCGGTTTACTATAACAAACAACTGCCATACAAACTGACCCAACAATATGAAGTTTTTGTATTCAAAACTTTTTTTCACGACAAGATATCTTCACAAACTTTGACGTGCGTCTTTGTCAAACGCAACACTATAATCCACGAACATATTATTCAGATGGGACCACTATAGTAAATACATAGCTGCTATACAAATTTGGTGCAGCCGAGGTTAACATTGTTTGCTTGTTGTCTTATGGAAACCTATATTGAAAGTACGTCACTAGCAATTGGAGTTATAATCACTAAAAATAATTTTGGTTCCTGTAAATACTGACTGAGTATAATTTGGTCTTTATTCAGACATAATAAGCAATTAATAATGGATACCTATACCTAAAAGTTGCCACACATTTGCGTCAATACAAATGCATAATCTCAACGTTAATATCGCCGGCTTTCGGCTATGTACGTCACAATTAATTAGCTTATACTAATTCTCGTTCTTTTCACTATCCAGTATTTAATTTCACGCCTAAAGTATATTAGCATGCAGCCAACGCATCACTGACCAACATTTTTTGTGCCCCACTTTTTAAAATAACTTATATTCTCACGCATAACTCATATTCTCACGCACTAAACTTCATAAAGTGCGGTCTAATATATTTGACGCAACGCCAAAAAAGTAGCGCTGCCCAAAAATTATGCCTCACCACATTAAAAGCGCGAGCCTGCCACACGCACAGTCACCGCACCAACCGCAAACGCATCAATCGCCGTTAATGACGCTCATATTTTCATTGTGGCCGCGTCTGTCGCTGTTTGTGTCACATTGCGCCGCTGCGCCCGCTTAATGTTTGCCTTCGACAGCATTTCAGCTCTGCGTAATTTTCTCGTGCATTCCGGCGTTTGTTTTTGTTGTTACTCGTCAATGATTTACATTTCGCTTACTTTGTTATTGTTGTAATAAATTTTTTTACTCATTGTTTGTGTATTTGTATTTCGCCCAAATTTAGGCAATTTACTCACGCGTCGCGCGTGTCTGCAAATGGGACAAGGGCGGACCGCATCGTTTTCGTAATCGCTGGACGTCATTCCTGAAATCACGCCTCAACTGCTCCATACCCGGCGAATATCCGTTCTACTTCAATGAGATACGTAAGTGCAAATATATGCGTTGGCCATTTTTTATTACAAAATTTTATTTTTTCAACTTTTTTTTTTATTTTCTTCTTTTGTTTGTTGGTTTTCGTTGGCGTGAATTGCCTAATGCCGCCGCTTGATTTGCCGTGACTTTAAAATTAATGTTGCGCTTTTAAAATTCCGCTTCTCGGCTGCGGCATAGCAAATCATCCCCACACAGGCCCATACACACCCTTAAAATACTGTCGAATTCATTTCAAATATTCACCTATAAAACTTTTTAAACATTCTTGCAATTCATTATATCTATTTCTTTTTTCTACTTCTCCCCCCGCCACGCCACGCTGCCGTTGTGCTTGCGCTCCACCTGCTGCTGCCTGCTGCGCATCGCCCCGCTCGTGCATTTGTGCCATTTGACAATCGACCAGAATCGGCTAGCAATCTCGTCGAAGGACACTATGGCCAAACAAGCGCCAAATTGATTTATGGCGTTTTTAATACGCCAACAAATTCAATTCCCGGCTCGGCAGTTTGTGCATTCTCACTGCAGGTAAGTTCGTCTCAACCTCGAGCGCTAAATTTCGTCTATTAGTATATGCGCTCACATAAATTTATATGCTTTGGTGCTACTTGTAATACTGGCTTGGTGGTAGCGTTTAACCATGCGGTAGTGTAGTGTTTTGAAAACAGGGTAGTTCAAATGGAAATATTTGTACCTAATAAATACTTAGTGAAATTAACTCCGCGGTCGAAGCATGCGAAAGTCAAGTTCAATGTGTTCGAAAGGTCGAAAAAGTTGCTTAGAGGTTTAAAATATTATGAAAAAGCGTTTGAGGAATTCAAATTATATCAACAAGGAATTTTATGTAGCTACATACCGTCTGTAAAATATATATAACCGTCGCACGTTATTAACTTTTTGCGAATTAATCTTCGAAATTATGATTCACTTCTTCTATTCTACGAAAAGATGTAGATTCAAACATACCGAAACAAAGCGAAAGTGGAAAGGCCCAAGAACTGTCTACATGCATGTAAACATATTCAAAAATATTTTAAAACGTCCAGATCCAGATCCAGTTCAAAATTACATATCTCTCTCAGAGCATTATTATCATAAAACCACTTCCGAGAAAGGGTCAGCATTTACATAGCAAAGATTTTATAACCTATCGCTATTATTACTATTACTCGCTCATTAATCCTGAAATCCCTATAGAAACATTTAGGATTTCCGCACAATTTTTAACCCCTTAATCAAAGTTCATAATATTGGTCTCTGAAAAAAATCCCCTTGTCTTACTAGCATCATTGTTGTATATAGAATATATGATACCAAAATAAAAACCCTTGGAAGGCATCTGAGGTATGTAGTTAAATATAGTAGAACATTTAGGATCTCCGATTTTAACTTCTTAATCAAAGTTTATACTCTCGATCTCTTAAGGGGTTAGGTGGGTTTCAGAGGTACAAAAAAAAAGGTACCATATATTCAAAAATATCAATCATATATTTCAAAAATATAATATGTAATATCAAGGGTATATATTCGAACCTTTACTGTATTCCTGATGTTTCGATACAAAAATGTTGAAAATTCCGCCGGTGCGACCGTATTTCCCTAGGTGACTCTCAAAAAAGTGCTCTTGCCGTGGACAGCATAACTTATTATAGGTTCATATAAAATTAAAAAACTAAGCATATTCTGTTAGTACATATCTACGTCTCGTTTTTGAACGTAGGAAATAAAAAAATATTAAAATTGTCCTTCTTTTCTCGGACTTTGAACAAAAAATCTAATTTTTGGTAACATTTTCGGCATTTTTTGGTCAGAAAAATAAGTTGTAATGAAACAAGAAAAAATCCTTCGTTCAATAACTAGATAATATTATCTCAAAAATATTTACAAAATCGGTCGATAAATTTTTGAGAAATTCTGTCCACCGACTTCAAAAACACAGTTTCGAGAAAAACGCGTTTAAAGACAAGGCACTTAGCGCAGCTAGCCTTGAGTGCACAAGTTCTCAAGGCTGTATCTCCGAAATTACTACTCAGATCAGCTTTAAAATTTATGACTATATTCTAGAGGTATTGTAAAATTTAATAAAGTAAACAAAATAAAATCGATTTTGGTAAATTTTCAAACTCACCTAACCCCTTAAAAGTATCCTTCCTCTCCTATTAATATCACCGCCATATGTATATAGAGTCTATGATACTGAAATAAAAACCCTTCGAAGGCATCTGATATAGTAAGGTAATTAAAGTGGCTGTCTAGGGACGCACCTAGGCCTTTAGGCGGCCCATTGTGACACCTACAAGAAACCGTTTGACCGTTAGTTTCTACTATTTTCGTATATAAAGATTTACAAATGCATAGAAGATGTTTAATTGTCTCCTCCCCTTCTATCTGCTGACAACTTCTACTACTGCTTGTTGTGCAAGACTAAGATTAATTCCAAGACTCGGATATGTTTGTCAATAAAATATCTGGTAGTTCGAGGCATTTAAATGTACTCGGTTTCGTAGTCTAAATGTAGTAGTGGTGGTGGTGCCTCACATCTATCCCTCAGCTTCACAGTTTCTAGGGATACCACTATACCCTGGAATCCATTGTATTGTTGGTTTATCGTTAAATAGATTGTTAGATCTACTAAGGGACCAAGTCATTTCTTCATTAACTTTAACGAAAGGCCTCGTGTTTTACTGATCTCAATCTATATTTCTGATTGTAAACACACTCATTGTCAGAAGCCTTTCATTAATTTCACGGATCTCCGCTTGGAAGACACCTCCGTGGTTTTGTAGGCGGAAAGCGATTTTGGTATCTAGCTTTACAGAGAATACACCATCTCCCCCTCGATTATCTAACTTGAAGCCATCCATATGGATACTTATCCTCTCGCCATTGTCGATATTTTGTTTGCGCAAGAACTGAAGCCGCTCAACCTTCCCAAGTGACATTGCCTCACTCTATGGGCTCTTGAAAACTTCCATGAAGATCGCGTATTTTCGAGCCAACTTTTGGTATGTAAACAAGGAAAATTGCCGCATTTGGGACAAAGAGCAACCTGAAGTGATTCAAGAGCTGTCATTTCATCCAGCAAAAACAACGGCTTAGTGTAGTTTGTAGACCGGTGTAATCATTGATCCATATCGCGCCATGATAACTGACAATTTAATTCCTGAAATTGATATCTAAAGTCTATGGGATGTTCGAACGAGTTTTCGAAAATTCGTCTCAACGGATGGACTATCTGAGACGTAGCCGCGGCCAACATTTAAAACAGTTTATTTCCAAAAATGACAAAAAATGTTCTTTCGACCGATAATAAACATTCCGCATTAAATTTGAAGTTTCTGTGTATTTTCTTTAAAAAGTAGGAAACCTCGAAATGGATTACTTCAATCCTTTAATTCAACAGAGAATATTTGGCACATGTTTACAGCGCAATTACTGTCAGGCTGTTCGAACAACTCGTACAGCTTCTTCGATTCGTTAGTTTCTAACGCTTTATTAAACACAGACAGCTAACTTTTGATTCTAAGAAATAACTTTCATAATAATATACATATGTTTTTGTATAGCTTGGCTCCGTGGGAAAACAAAGCACAACAATTGACCGACCTTTATGAAATTAGTCTGCATTTGTGCCAACCTTTATAAATGTTTGCACGTATCAACTCTTCCATGTCGAAATGAGCTTTTTTCAGCCATCGCTTAATATTGATTTTTCCGCTTTGCCGAATTCGTGTTTAATTTAATTTTACATGCCCATATTTATACATATATATAATATACATATTTTTATATACATAATTATTTTTCATTATTGCTTCACATTGCAGAAAATCGCCGACACATTCGAGGGCAATTTTAAGGAGCAGAGCAGCATTAACTCAAATTGGTTGCCAGTCAATAATGCCAAGGTATTCAATATGTATATATGTATTTGTATTTTCTCTCGATGTTTCATTATTTTCGCAATTAAAATGCCACAATTTTCAGTACACAAATCCACCGAAAGGCAAGGGTTGCTGAGCGCCCTTGGACACATACTTTATATTCTTATATAATTATAATTTGTATACACCGAACAAGATACAAACTGAACGATCCAAGTCAAGTTTTTGTATGGAAAACTTTTATATTTGTCTAGATATCTTTACGAAATTTAGCATGGATTATTTTCGAAGTACTAGCTATAATCTCCCAATGAATTGTTCAGATCGGATTACAATAACATATAGCCGCCTTACAGACAGAACTATCCAAATCAAGTCCTTGTATGGAAAACTTTTTATTTGACAATATATTTTCACGTTATTTGGTACAGATTATTTTCAATAGGCTATGCTCCAAAGAAATTATTCGGATCGGAGTACTATAGCATATAGCTGCCATATAAACTGGGCAAAAAAAAAAATCAAGTTCTTGTTTGAAAAACTTTTTTATTTGAAAAACTATCTCGACGAAATTTGCCTTGGAGATTTTTTCAAGCCCCAACTACAATCTACGAGAAAACTATTTAAATCGGTTCACTGAAACATATAGCTGTCATACAAACTGATCGTTTAAAATCTGAATAAATAATTTTATATACCTTTTTATACCATAAGGGTATTTTAGCTTCAATGCAGCCGAAGTTAACATTCTTTCTTCTTTTCCACCAATTTAATATTTACATGCCAACCAACACACATATGAATGTCACCAGTCTCGCTTTGTCGCTATATACAAATATTAGTATGTATGTGTGTGCACTTTCAATTAAATTGGCCTCATACGCGCTGGCACTTAACCACTCATTTTTATTGATATGCCACAAACCGCAGTTGATGTCGTGTCGCGCACTCATCCACTGCCACACCCACTTGGATATCCACATCATCCATCTGCGCGTCTGAGTGCATATTTCACTGAAATGCGCACAAATTAAAATTCATTTAATCGTGATTGACTTTTAATGCGACTACATAAACATCTGCTTAATCGCTTACACACATACAATATCCCTGTATGTTTATATGCATGTATGTATATTTTGTATACATATACAAGCGTAGTAGGTAGTACTTTCGGTTTTTAAGTGGCCAATTAGCGGATGTGCGCACACATACACACCTATTCCCATTCACCGCCAGGCTAATTTGGTGTAGAGTCAACAAAATTGGTGGATTACAATAAATAAATATGTATATTTACGCAGGTATCAGCGCGCATCCTCAGCGGATTAGTTGGTGCTAAACTAATTTGGCGATTTATTTAAAAAATCGCATTTAATTACCTTCCAATTAATCTTCTACCGGCGCGATACTCAATGCTGTATTTTACTTGAGTTGACGGCGCTTAAATTTGATATGTATCAAAATTAACGGTCTGTCGGTTTCGAAATGATTTAGAAATATGCTTTTGCCACAAATATTTAAAAATAATTAATTAAAAATGGAAATTGGTTGATTAAAGAGTTAAATTATTTAAAAAGTAGAGACTAAAAAGTGGTGTGGTGGTATCGATGATAAGAGAAATCGATTCACAATATACTCGTTCATTGGTTCCTTGATTGAAAAGGGAAGCACAGTCCAGAGCCTGACTGCAGGCTGCCGCTCTTCAGTCACTATTAGACTTACTGTGCTTCCATTGTAATCAATTACGCCCAGCTTATCAACTCCATAGAATTAACACAAATATCTGCAAATTTTCCAAGCCTAACTGTCCACTATATTAAAAGTTGAAACGTTGAAAACCATTGAAGCTATACCTTCTTAGCCAACTGAATTTTGGACATTCACAGAAGTAATATTCTAGCATCTCATCATATGCTTTTCATATTGCCCATACTACTTTGCAAAAATTCTGATGGTAAGATCATAGATGTAGATGCTTATGATGACCTTTTCGATGTTGCTTAGTTCCTTCTAGCCTAATAGTAGAAACTTCTTAGTCAGTTCGCCATCAACCCAAAGCACTTCTCTTGTTCAGCTTAACGGAACTACATTTCCGGCTACCCCCCAAAGAGTCAACTCATCTGCCTTTTCATTTTTCTCTATTCCTATGTGACTAGCTACACAGACGATGAGTTTTTCTTGACTTTCGAGTTTTCCACTGAAAGTATAAGTATTTCCTCCTTATGTAATTCAACGTCCTGACACTTTTTGTCGCTGCGGATAGCCTTTATTGCCTCTTGGCTACCAAGTTGGTAGTTATTGGACTTGTTGGTTAGCACTGAAGCACATTTGCCATTTCTATTATTTCTACAATTTTGGCCTGAAGGACTGAATTATAGACAATTAGTTTCAAAATGTCTCCTCTGAGCTCCAGTCAATTAAGCTGAAACTATGTATGGATTAGTACAGCGGAAGCTTGCCAATCCTATTTCTGTTTTTGTTTTCTCCTTTTAATCGCCTATATAAATACAGATTTCGCTTTGGGTACCTCCGATGATAGTACCTCACTGCCAATCTAACACGAATTCTGTAAAAAGATCGTGTATAAGACCATGCCATCGGTGACGCTAAGCCTGGCACCAATGGCCTAGGACCTTTAGCTGATGAACTCTGGCTGTCTGTAGGCCTTGAATCGTACTTTACATGAATATATATTCATCGAAAGTAGCTAATAACCTCCAGAGCCTTGTTATATGGTTTTCATAAAAGCGAACAGATGACCCTTTTATAGAGCCATATAACAATTTGGGTCACAGATCCCATTTTGAAGCAGTCTCTCTACTGCAGAGTTCCAAAGCACATTTAAGGTACGTCGGAGTCCTTGGAGCTCTGCATTCAAAATGTACTCTCCAGCTATGCTCGGTTCCAGAGTGTAGTGGTCTTACCCTCTACAGATGGGAAGTTGAACTAGAAGCTTCTTGTCCCTCTTCTTTGTTGTCTTATAGACATCGCTCACGCGGTTACAGCCAATTCTTGTCTTTCCTTTACCATTATATGGAGGAATATTTTATGGTTGAGAACAAGAATTATCCAAATTTATTTAAAACCTACTCTTTATTGAAAAATAGCCAAGATATTCATAGAATAAAAAGCTTTTACTGTCTTAATAGATTACTTATACATCATCATTTCATTTCGGGCACCCAGATGAGCTGCACTTGGTTACGTTACGTTAAAAAGAGACTTCTTTAAGTGTCGCTTGACTGTAGCTAAGTATGGTTATATATTCGTTGCGATAGTTGCGTCGGTTGCAAAGGCTTCCGCTGGAAAAATGCTTGGAAAACTTTTCATAGGTATGGAGAGTTAGGTGCGTGGTCCTGCGACTCTTTCACCAATTCCCTCCTCTTTTCGCTACGTGGCGCCAATTGAATATTCCAAGCGTAGCCAGGACCTTCTCCACTCGCAGCGTCGACTCATCAGTTGTTGTCATCTTTCAAGCTTCTGCACCATATAGCAGGACGGGAATTATGAGTGACTTATAGAGTTTGGTTATTGTTCGTCGAGAGAGGACTTTGCTTCTCAATTGCCTACTCAGTCCGAAGTAGCACCTGTTGGCAAGAGTTATTATGCGTTGGATTTCCAGGCTGACATTGTTGGAACGTTGGTTCCAAGATAGAAGAAATTATCTTCGACTTCAAAGTTATGACTGTCAACAGTGACGTGAGTTCGACGACTGATTGTTTTATGGCAGGAGATATTTCGTATGCCCTCGTTCACTGCCAGACCCATCTGCTTTACTCCTTGATATCAATAACATCGGCATACGCTAGCAGCTGCACACTCTTGTAGAAGATGATATCAATGGTATTACATCAATTAATTCTTTTATTCACTTAAATGAGATTACCTTACCTCTGTCACACTCTTCTGCTGTCATTTGGAGCAGTGTGTATTATGTGTGAGTCTGGCTATCTTTCAGTTCCAATAGCCGATTTCACGCAAACGGAGCGTTCCCGGATTTCCCGATTTTTATATTGAACTCAAATTTATGGTGAACTCTCTCCCTCTCTCTTGTTTTCTCTCTCTCAAACAGTTGTTTCGTACCCTTTAAGCTCTGACAAGTCTCTTCAAACCCTGAAATATTTAACTGATGCTTTTTCCCATCAAAGATTTTAGTAATTTCGACAAGGATGGAGACAAGCTAGCTTCCACACCTCAAGTCCAACCAAGAGAACACGATCGCTGAGCACATATAAACGTCTTCTCTTGGATATGCCTTTAATTTTCTTGCATACTCAGATTTCCATACTCTTCTCCATATACTGACAGCACAAACCTGCCTTGTTTGCATAACTATTGTATGTACCTGCCACCTGTTTTTTCGCTTTGGCTGAGGTGTTTGGAAAAAATTGAAATTGTGCAATAAAGCAACATAAAAACTTCAGCGAAAACTGCAACGTCATCGTCAGCAACATCAACATAAAAAAAATTGCACATTAACTTTCAGCTTACAACAACACACACACCAGCGTACAAGCATGCCGTAGGAAGTTATTCTATACACGTAATCTTTACCATTACAGGTGCCCGAACCGCGACCCGGCTCCTGTCACAATGATTCACGAACACTGCCGGAACCGACGTTGAATTTCATCAAAACACATTCGCTAATGGATGAGAACGTTCCGGCGTTTTTCGGTCAACCAATTTTGGTCAGGACGAGCACAATGTAAGTACCTTGAATATTGCATTTATATGTGTGTGTGCATTTATGTATCTCTACGTATACTAAGCGAATATAAGCGTACACGTACAACGAAATGGATAGTAAACTAAATATAGGAAAAAACAAAGCCGGTACCGAAACACATATGCATATGTGTATGTGTTTGTACAGGGTGGTACATAAGTCGTTTGTATTTGATATTAAAGAAAAATCAATACTTTATTGGTTTATTGCAGCAAATATAGTCACGTGGTTATCGTGAACATTTTTATTTATATTTATACAAGGTACTTGGTTTAGTTTACTTTGAGAAATTCAAATAATATTTTTTTTTTTTCAATATTTCTTATTTGGTTTATTCGCGTATAAATGTATATGAATTATATATTTATATAGGGTGCTTCGTTTTGTTTATTTCTAGAAATTTAAAAACTTTTTTTTTTTTTTTTTGTTTTTTTTTTAGTTTACGCAAGTAAAACCTCATTTCTGTACTCATCAAATAAAATTGAATTTATTTGTCATCATATTAACCCAACCTTATTTCTCATGAACTGATGGGCGGCTTTTAGTCTAATTTCAGGAAGAACCTCATACACGCAGAGTTTGAATATATCTACATATATAGGGTGGTTTTAAAAGTAATATGTTTTGATTTTCTTCAAATAAATTATTAGTTTACTCTTGCAAACATTCCCATTATACACGGAATATAATTTCAATCACGTCGTAACTTCGGCTACCTTCGTTCCTATTCTATAGCATTTCGCTGAGACCTTGCTCTTTAAAAAACTTTGGAGCGCCTTATAACTCAAGCTCAAAAACAACAACTCGATATTTGCTTACTAATGTAAATCGTTATGTCATAGTTTGTACAGTTTAAAAAACCCGAAAAAGTATACAGAACTCTTCCGAGATGAGGCTTTCGTAAACTTGAGACTATAAAAAAATCGATTTTGTTACAAGTTGTGTGGTAGGCTAAAATTCGTCAACGTCAATTTTCTTAATTACCTTAGATTCCGATAAGAGGTTTGAAGTAATAAATTTAATATCAACGTTAACTCTCTTTCTCTTCATAATTTTCTTTATTTTCTCACTCTGCTTTTCTCTCCATCTCTCTTTATCACACTCTCTCTTCTTCTTCTTCTCCCTTTCTCTATTTCTCCTCCTATCTTCATCGGTTGTTTGATATGCTGAAGTTAAACTTAATGACAATATACTATAAAATCTTTATTCTATGCCAAAAATAACGCCTCCTCTCTCCCTTTTCTTCCCTTTCCACCAACTTTTCTCTATACCACTCTCGCTCTGCCCCTATCTTTGTTTCCCTCTCTCCTCCTATGCCTTTACCTTACTATCTTTCTCCCGCATCTCCCTCTCTTTCCCTCTCTCCTTCAGTTGTTTGATATGATGAAGCTAAAGTTCCATAATGGCAAATCTTTTGGGCTTTCTCCCAAACTGAAAACTTTTCGAACAAAACCTTTCAATTACAAATTTACGATACATTCCAATTTGATTCAAAAATTGCACTTTTTTTTTTTTTTTTTTAATAATAACTTTGAGAGTATGTTACTACTAGTATGTATGTATGCATTCTACCTCCTTACAATGAGCAACAGCTGTCCTGTCAATACCTTTTTTCGATAATAGTTTCTTTCCATTAATCGAACCACTTTAATAGACCACCATGTATTTAAATACGCACATATACATACACAAAGCGATATTATAACGGTTTACATACATCTATAGAGCATGTATTATCATTTTCATATACATACATATGTATCGAGCAACTTCCACACCACTGCTATCGTATATCCTGCCCGGCTTCCATACTCTCCTGGCCACAAGTCATTTCGCTGAGTCCTTGCAAAATGTTGTTCGCTAGCGTGCTTTGCACTACATCCGGCGTTGACTTTTTAGCTGACATTCGGGTGGCGAAATTGACTTTTTATTTACCGCACACATACATGTATGTGAGTTGTAGGTATGCGTGCGCTTGTGTGGCCATGTAGTGCAAATTGCGTATACGCCACGGCCGGATGTCGGTCACGTAGCACCGGGTGAGTGGCTAACGCGCAAGTGGCTATGAAATTGTTGTCGTTGTCGTTGTCGCTGTCGCTGTCGTTGATCATTGTTGGAATTGCCAATGCCCCGCTGAAGTCTCTTGCTGCTGCAATCTAAATATTATTATACAACAGTGGCGGCAACAGGAAAAGCACTTGCGTTAGCTGACTATGCGCAACTGCGACGACTTCCACTGCAGCGGGTAATATTGTTGTAACGACAACAACAACACCAGCAATAACTACAAATTGACTGCTATAACGCTATCACAATTTAAGACTGTCTTCTGGTATATATGCAAGTATGCGTGTGTGTGTGTGTGTCTACTGGCTTGTTTGCCAACTGCACGTCCGACAATGATCATTATGATTATGATTATGGTTTGTTGATGCAACACTGTCACTAACCATTGCACAACTAACGCACGACTAACAAACCAACTAAGCTGACTAGCTAGCTGCTAGCCACAGGCGTGGCTGGCGGCTGACAATTTTAAATAAAATAGATAACGTTCATAGCAGCTTTGAGGCGTAACTGAATAGCCAATTTACTAACACAGCCGCAAGTGCAAGTTTCAAAGTGTGTGTGTGTGAGTATAATGTGATTGTGTGGGTATCATGTATGTAAGTTTAGGCTGTCTGTGTGCGTGCTGTGGCACGTCATTGCTGCAATGGGTGCGGTTATTGTTTGTTTAGTCATACCGTTATGTTTGTTAAGTAACGAGAAATGTGTTGATCCTGGTGCAATATCAAACGACCGGAAACCATGCCCGCAATTCAACGCCAAATTAGTTATTACACGCTTTGAGTTGACGATTTTCACATGTCACATTACCAGCTACTTTACGGTGTAGCAATCTCTTAAGTGCATATGTGTATGCACATTTGTCCCTACTCGCATATGTATGTATGTATAAGAATAGTTGATAAAAAATTGTTGTACAAATATTGCATCAACTTTTTCTGATGAAAAGTCCGTAATATACTATTTAAGTTGCTAAAAAAGCCTTATTTAGGAGCCTAATAGATTACTCGAACTGTAAATTTCTCGAGAATTTTCTCAGCTGAAACTCTCATGTTGATAAATGTACGAAAAAGAGATTTATAAGATAAAAGCTAAAAATAAAAATCGTTATAATTCCTATTGACAAAAAACTGGAACAGTATATTTTTGGAAGCATCTCTTGCTGCAAATTTTTCAAAAGCAGAAACTTTCGCCATAAAAAAGCACACTAGAAATCACTCACATCAGGTGGCTGGTGGCACAGCATTCCTCTCCTATGATCCAAAGACCGCCGCTTCGGGACGATTTATTTCTTTAATCAGTCCAATTGTTGGCAGTTCAAGTTTGAATTGCGAGTTTGTTCGTAAGAGAGTTCACAGTTAATGATTTCCAACCAATTTCACCAAATATATAACAAAACCTATCTCTTTGACAATTTTGGCTTGGCCAAGATTTGCGCCGGGATTCAACCACAACCGTTTTTACTTGACGTTGTCGTAAGTCACCCACTTTTCATCATCAGTAACCATCCACTTCAGAGTAGATCGATGTTGTTATAGCCCGATCGCATTTGGAAAATATTTTTATTCCTCTCCAAGTCGGTAAAATATAAAAAAAAAAAATTTTTTTTAACGTCTACGACAGCACGTTTTTGCATAAAAATCGAGCTTTATAATTTGACTTAATCTCCATCTAAAGTAAAGTATTTGTTTTAACGGTCCTCCAACACGATACCAATCCAATTTTGTGAAGTTTTGAAAACATTAAAGTACAAGGTTGGTACTGATATTCCCATATGACACTTTTTGCATTTGGGAGTCAAAGCTGGCAGCCAAAGTTGTTGTATGGGGGAGTTCATTCCGCATTCTTACGGCTCATAATTTTTTTCTAGAACAAGGATAAAGATTTTTTGTTTCTGGCAATTTTTCGGCCACGCCCAAAAAAACATCTCAACCCAGTTCTTAGGTAGTAAATAGTACGGTTTTCAAGAAGCGGCCGCTGGAGTTTTCTGAATAGCCATAAGTCACCTGGAGCTAAATCAGGCCAACCTGTTAGTTGCGGCACGATGTTGGTTGAAATTTTGCTAAAAACTGCTAGAATCAATGCAGTATCATTGTCCTGTTGCTAAAATGAAGAGTTGGCTCATAATTCCGGCCTCTTTATACGAATAGCTTCGCGCAAATGACAAATAGCACAAAAATAGTATTCCATGTTGGAAATTTGGTCGATCGGAAGGAGTTCGGAGTGCACCTCAGCTCGATAATCGAATAAAACTGTCAATATAACCTTGTTTTGGCCTCGACTCACCTTTGGCGAGTGTTCGACAGTTTCCGGGTCGTTAGCATAGATCCAAGATTCATTACTGGCGATGGGTTTAATAAAGTAATGGTAACTGGAAATCATTTTTTCACAGGCGTTAACGCGATGCTGTTTTTCGGAAAAATTTAGTGAGTTTGGACTAAAATGTGCTTTTACTTTTTTTAGGCCCAAATGATCTTTCAAAATGATTTTAACTGAGCCTCCTGATATTGTGAGGATGAAAGTAGCAACTTTGATTGTTAAGCGTCGCTTTTCCATCACCAATTCCTTTCTTTTTTTTTTGTCATCAGGTAGATTAAAAATTGTTATTTTTTAATTTATTTAATTGAGGTTTTTAGCTATCTGCTTTAATATAGTTTCATATAATATTAGTGCTATTGGGAATAATTGATTGCAGAATTGTTTTATTAACTTAGTTTGAGATTTTTAGTTTATCTAATTTCATATTTTTGATCTTGTAATTTCTGATATAATTTAAAATAAATAAAATGTTTAATGCAACTGGCTCAAAAATTATATTTTAATTATAATTCTTTAAATTAACTTGTTTTTAATTTATACTTTAGTCATTTTTTATATAATTAGTAATTATAATTTTGTAATTTGGTATAATT